AGTTTTTCAAATGTACTTTAAAGCAAGAACAGTGTGTTTTTTAGAGTGTTACACGTGCCATTGACCTGCTTTTCCTCGAGGCCATTGAAATACTGGGAGAAATTGGTTTAAAAGCCATCATTGCAGGGAATGGGTAAGCCACATTTGCATGCTATTTTCCTTCTAATTTTACTTTTTCACCAAAATACTAAGAAAGTTCCCTAAGGATAAGCTTTTGAATAAAAATAAGTGCAGCTGCGCTTGTTTCAATGACTAAATTCACCAGGAGATGTAGGTTTGCATTGATAGAGCCATGATAATCCACTTGGGGAGAAACAGTATTTCACAGCAAAGGGAAATGCAGAGGGAATGGGGCTGACACTGGAGGCTTTGCAGGGTGGCACATCTGCCCATGCAGACTCCAGGAAAGTGAAAATGAAGCACGTGTGAGGGGCTGCTAATGCAAAGAGTCATTCCCACCATTTCAAGCACTTTTTGACATTTGACCCTTTCACTATTTCTTCTCAGTCCACAGAATCAGCATGCTGCCTTCAAACGTAATAGCGATAAATGGTAGCTGCTCTATATCTGTTCTAACAATAAACTGCTCTATATTGATTATGATGTCGGTTATATGACTCATGTATTTCTCAAAACTCACAGAACTGTACATATAATAAAGTGGATGCTACTCTATGTAAATTATATCTTAAACATATTTACCTAGTAATTATATATGCACACAAATACTATATCAGCATATATATATATATACACACACACACAAATATGTGTATGTATATTCAAATTCTGCATTTAGTTATTGCTCCTTGACATAACAGCAGAAAGATAAAAATGTACTTTTCTACTTTGAGGTGGATAATTTAACATATATTTTTTAAAAATATACCTGGAAGAAAAAACCTTAGTCTGACAGAACACTTTAGATTTTGTCTCTAAGACTGCCAGTAATCTTCAAACTGAGATTTAGCCTATCTTTCAATATATACTAATATAGATTGGGTATATCTTTTATTTTTTTCTTGGGGGGGTTATACTGTTATAAAACTTTACAGTTACAAAAATAAATGCATTACTTATTGTATTGTATTGGACCTTAATTATGAACTCTGAAAGTAGGAGCCATAATCTTATTCCCATATTCCCAATGTAGTGACTTTCCAAAAATAGATTTATAATAAGTTACGGTATTATAAAAAGTAATAAGGTGATAGTGCTGTAGTATCAGAATTTTAAACAATAATGTAGATTTTATTAAAAATGCTCTGATGGGAGCTCTTTAAATTTTGCAGTATTTCTTTAGAATAAACAGGTGAAATAATATCTCTCAGTATGTTCACAATTTGTATGAACCTACCAGAGGGCCTAATTAGCAGAGATTCCTACTTCAAACTCAAGACAATTAAACAGAACATCATGCTTTAAATACATGCTTTCAATAAGATGCACATCTCTTTCTCCACTCCTTAATTGCCTCCTCAACTTGGAAGTAGATAAAATAAAACATGAAAATGCATTGTTTAGATTTTAAATGTTACACTTTACTACAAATTCCCTCATAGAATTTATCAGCACTACAGCTATAAACTGAGCTGATATCATATACCTTTTTCTCCCTTTTAAATTCTTCCACAGTCCAAGTATTTTCCAATGTGAAATCTATTGGTTCCCTTGATCTATAACTTTCAGTATGCATTACCCTAACATAGCAACACAACTTGAACTAACATGACAAAACTTGGTAAATAACAATATACATTATCATCAATGGAATTAGAAGCTCATAGCAGAATCACATTCTAAAAAAGTAAAGATGTCAGATTTATTTGAGATACAGCATGCACAATAGATGTTGAAATATTTTAAAAGCCAAATACATTGGTCTTATAAAGAAATGGGAAATTAAAACAAAGATTCTGAACAGTGCCAGAACATTTATTTCTTAACCTTTGTGCATTAAGCTACCTTGTTTTATTCCTTACAAATGCAATTTCTACAATTTTAATGATTTCATGATTAATGCATTAATGATTTAATGCATGATTTCATGATTGCATTTTGCAAGCCGTCAGCAGTGCCAACCAAGACTCTGATGATTTGTTAAATCATAAACATGATTTATCACTGTGGATGGACTTACTAGTGATCAGTGCCATATCCTTTTGTTCTGGTGAAGCCTACTGATGTGGCCACTACTAATGCCGGTAAACCTGCAAGGAAAGCAATGTCACACGTTCACATTCAGCTATAACCACTATGCATAATGGCTCAAGAAAAGTCAGAACAAACTCCAGATTATTAAATCAGAGCAACTATCTTTGGATAGTTAATAAGGTACGTTTCTATTACAAAATTTCTTTCAAGTTGAAAAATATGAGAGAGGTACCTGAGCTTTTAACTTACTGTACTTCTCTGATGTTGCTAGGTTACCACCACATTTGACATGGGTTTAAATGGAAGTAATAGAAGAGATTTAGTACATCTTTTAAGTTATTTTTTCCCTAGAGGTTTACACTGTTACAAAGGAAATTTATGGTTATAAAATCAGAATGGTAAAAACTGGACTTTCTGGTGTGATGTAATATCAGAGAAGTGGAACATTCCATTGGCCACATACTGATCCACATCAAGCTGTACTTACAATAAGATGGAAAAAGCATACATCTCATCAGTTAACACTTTCTTTAAAATTTAATTATAATAACAAGAATGTAGAAATATGAAACTCAATTACCAACATACTTGCATCAATTCTGAGCTAGCATCTTCTTTTAGTTTATGTGAATTATACTTACCTCATTAAAGTTCAATGGAAACTCCCTATGTTTTGGTAGATCGAATCTATGCTGTTTAAACTTTTAAAATTTTTTTAAAGTTTTGGTTATGCCTTCTTTTCAGGAAGATCATGTTTTCCTTTTCTGGCTGAAAAATCCATCATCTAGTCATCTTCTACATCTCCTCTGCCCATCTTCTTTCCTACTATAATTTCACATACTTCCTGCTGTTCTCTTTCCTCTGTGAGCCTTCTCTAGTGACACCATATTCCTTCATGAGATTTAATGACAAGAACTATGGAAAACATCTCAGAGGGACACATCATAGTTTTAAACAAATATTGGTGATATATATATATATATATATATACATATATATATGTAGTGCAAATTATACATATATAGTCCCCTCCTCATCCTCATCCTTACTTAGCTCCTCCTGTTTCTCCTCTTCTTCTTCCTCCTCCTCCTCTTCCTTCACAGGTCATTTGTTGACTTTTTTGATTGACTGGACTAAGTTCATTAGAAGAAAAACCCTCCAGGGTTATAACTGAAGAATTAATAGTATTTATTTCATATAATTTAGATTAAAATTTTTTCTAGATTCATTATGTTGTACTTGTCCATAATGAAACACATGTACCACTATTCTGCCAACCCATAAACTTTCTGATACTCTCACCATCAGTTTAGCTTTTTGCTACTTAGAGTAATTTGATATTAGCTGTAAATTTGGAGATTGTCTATGAAGCCTCTCCTCAAAATCTTAAGTAATAATTTTAAACAAAGTAGTCAACAATCTTGAAAATCACCACATTTTATTCGTCATCAAAAAATGTGTTCTTTTACCTGCAGTCTGTATTTCTTAGAATGGTACTAATTCATGGCAAAAGTATCCCTTGATTGAAATACTACTTCAACTTTAGAAGGCCTTTGTCATGAAATTTAGACAAAAATTTGATGAAAGTCTAGGCAAAACAAAGTCTGCAACTTTTGTGTTTGTGTGAGGCTCTTACTCTGCCACACAGGTTGGAGTGCCGTGGTGTGATCTCAGCTCACTGCAACCTCCACTTCCCAGGCTCATGTGATCCTCCCACCTCAGCCTCCCGAGTAGCTGGGACTACATGTATGTGCCACCACTCCTGGCTAATTTTTTGTTTGTATTTTTGATAGAGATAGGGTTTTGCCATGTTGTCCATACTAATCTCAAACTCCTGTGCTCAGGCAGTCCACCCACCTTGGCCTCTCAGAGTGCTAGGATTATAGACGTGAGCTACCATGCCTGGCCTACTCTTCAACTTCTTATTAACTGCCTTTCCATTTGTGTGTCATAAAGTCCTAATATATTAGTTAGACATAATAGACCTTGCTGAAACCTAATCAATAATATGTAAGTGTTCTTGATAATATTTTTCCAGTCTAAATTATTCTGTCATTGTTATAAATACACTTATTTGTAATTTCCCAGTTTCCTTCTAGCATCCCATATGTCAGTCTTCTATTACAGTAGATATTATTGTATATTTGGGCCTTTTCTAAAAGCAGCTTCTTAAATTAAATAGGCTATCATTACAATTGGCCCTATGATATAGATCTTTCAGATGTCCATGTCATGAGGCAATTTGAGAGAAACTTCTTAATAAACATAAGTAAAGAAACAATTCTCAGTCTGTCAGCAATTCTAGGTTTCTACTTTTGAGAAACCTCACATCGACTAGCTGTGAGGTTTCATTAATTCTCTAAATAATGTTCTCCCTGTGAAATGAATAGCTGTATTCTTTAAATGTTTTGAGATTCCTTGGAATGAAATGCTCTAAGTTTCCTGGTGGTAGTACATACATTCGGCTCTGAAAATTTTAAGATATTTTGCACTTTCAGAAAATATTAACAGAGAGCACTGCTTTTCTGTGTGTAGGTATCTCGGGTCTCATCTCACACTCTGTCGGCACTATTGAGTGTTAACTGACTAGCTACATGGGCGTTCAATACTTGCTTCCTTTTAAAGTTCCAAATGGCCAATGAATATTCAAAATTGACAAGCTCATGTATTTTCACTTCCATAGATGAAATTAGACAAAAGTAGCCTGTGTCTAATCACTCTTGACTGCTTTGTGATACATGTGTTCAAAGTCATTGAGAGAAGAGCACAAAAAGGTATATTAATATGCTTACCCCATCCAAGGCACAAAAAGCGTTTTCTTATAAGCCGTGTCCTAATTTTTCCAGTTACAGCCATATATGATTGCCACGCCTCAGTCAAAACCCAACAGAATGAAGCCAGGAAGAAAAAGTGCAAAAATGCAGTGGTGGTTGTGCAGATATTCTGTGGAAACAAACAAAAGGACTCGCACTGAACCTGGAAGAGGGAAAATCACATGTTCTGAAGAGGATTGTTAATCTTTGATTCATTGCTTTTATTTCAAATGTCTACTTCTCCTCAATGACAAGAGTAATTATTTATAGAAATTATAAACCCTGTAGCCTTCCTGCTCTATACAATATTTATAATGGAAAAAATATGTCTAATTCCATTTTGGGCTTAATTTTTTGTGTGAAGAACCCTGAATATAAATTTGAGCTCAATGGAGATTAAAATTACTGTTTTACTTGAATTTTTTAAGGATAGTTATGAAAGTGCTTTTAATTATTTTGGCTACATTCTTTATTTTTCTCTTTTAACAGATAATCTTTCTTTGTTGTTTTATCTGTGTTGTTAAAATTATATCTGCAAATGTAATGGACTTTCGAAAGAAAAAATTAGTTTGCTCTTATATTTGCATGATATTCAAGGTATAACAGCAAAGTACAATGAGGTTTGGCTAACAACATAGTTCAAAAATAACTTATGTATTTTAAAGTAATTAACACAATACTTCTATGGTCTTACTTTGCAATGTGAGTCCTAATCAAATAATTTTGAAAAGCTTATCAAGTCACTGGCTGTACACAACTATGATTTTATAGATGTTTTTATTCATGTAACTTAACCACCTTGAATGTGCTGATCCTTAGTTGTAACTCATTGGCAAAAAATCAGTAGCTTCATTTTGGTAAAGGTTGTTACTTACTTCACTGTTATAATTTCTTTATAAATCTTGTTGAAATGCAAGTCTTTATAAACCAGAACCAGTAACAGAACTAATTTGTTCCTTTGCCAGTCATTCTCAAGCTTACTGTTTTTAAAAATTGAAAATGGCAAAACAAAGACAGTAGAACTAAAAAAAAAAAACTAAAAAATCCCAATACAAAGAAATGAAACTATAATCCATATCTTCTCATCTCTACCACCATCCACTGCTAATGCAGAATATCTTATTAGAATTTTTTAGCCCAAATTTTCGTATTATTTGTTTACTTTGTTAAATTTCACCATATGTTAACTTAGTTTTCCAGTTCTTCTTATCCTGTAAAAAGAACTTTAGCATGTTTATCTCAGCAGGTTGTGTAAATGATGACAGATAATGTTAAAAGGCTGAGGAGCACTGTGGTAGGTATATAGCAAGTGTTCAACCAAATATGACTGTTATCATTAATATTCAGTACTTGTTTCTGCTTATAAAGATGATAAAATCATGGATTTCTTGAAGACTTCCTCATACCTCTGTCTAGTCTCAGGTACAATTCAGTAGCTTTAACCAATTGTAATTCCTCCTATTCTTGACACATTGAGACTTTCATTTTTTCCAATTTATGGTTTAAATATCTGCAGATTCTCTAGTTTGCTTATTTTTCATCTGTAGTAGCTGATCCCATGTGAATTCCAAAGACAACTCCTCTACTTGCTATCCAAAGACTAGTTTACCTTTTTCAGTCGCTTGTTACCCTTTCAGTTTCCTCTACCAGTTTGTTTCAACTCAATTGTATGTACTAGCAAAGCTAGGCCATCTCTGTTTTTAAACTATCAATAAAGAGTTATGTCAAACCGTAAATAAATATGTTGAAATGTAAGACCCTAAGTGTTGGTGTACTGAAATTTTATAAGAAATAATGAAGTGTTCAATGTCTGAGTACAGAGTTTCTAAAATTTTCTTTCTGCATATTGTGTTTGTTACTTTACTTTGCAACTCCCTGGTATCCACTTTAATTCTAATACAAATTGAAGCACATGCAATTTTGAGCCACTGACATTTCAATAATCATGTCTCTTTGAACAATAATATGGCCAAAGACAATGGGGAAATGTAACTAAAGAAGTAAGGCCTATTTCTTCAGACAACAGTATTCTACAATAGCTGGATAAATATTTATATATGCCTTAAGTTGCTCCAAGTACAGAGGTAAGCCATCTCAAGGAATATGTACATAAGAACTAAAGAGGTTTAAGTCACAAAATTAACCATATACGAAAAGCACAGCCAAATCTATGATCTTGAAAAATAGAAAAAACGAGCTACACTTTGTGTCATCATGTGAAGAATCAATATAAAATCAAACACTCAGCCAACAAGCATATGAAAAAATGCCTAACATCACTGACATTAAGAGAAATGCAAATCAAAGCCATAGTGAGTGAGATACCATTTCATATCAGTCAGAATGGCTATTAGTAAAAAGTCAAAAAATAGTAAATGCTGGTGAGGTTGTGGAGAAAAAGGAAAGTTTATGTACTGTTGGTGGGAATGTAAATTAGTTCCACCATTGTGGAAGACAGTGTGGCGATTCCTCAGAGACCTAAACACAGAAATATCATTTGACCCAGTAATCCCATTACTGGGCATATACACAACAGAATATAAATTTTTCTATTATAAAGACACATTCAGGTGTATGTTCATTGCAGCAGTATTCAAAGCAGCAAAGACATGGAATCAACCCAAATTCCCATCAATGATAGATTGCATAAAGAAAATATGGTACATATTCAACATGGAATACTCTACAGCCATAAAAATGAATGCAATCATGTCCTTTGCAGGAACATGGATGGAGCTGGAGGCCATTATTCTTAGCAAACTAATGCAAAACAGAAAACCAAATACTACATGTTCTCACTTATAAGTGGGAGCTAAATGATGAGAATACATGGACACACAGAGGAGAACAACACACTCTGGGGCCTATCAAAGGGTGAAGGGAGGGAGAAAAGAGAGGATCAAGAAAACTAACTAATGGGTACTAGGCCTGATATCTAAGTGATGAAATAATCTGTACAACCAGACCCCATGATGCCCATTTACCTATATAACAAACATGGACATGTACCCCTGAACTTAAAAGAAAATCAAACAATCCATACAGGGAAACACTGATTTTGCTACTGATATGTTATATTGGTTAAGTTGGAAATAGTCTTTATAATACAACTTTTAAGAATAGAAATTTTCAAATGAAACTTTATTATTGTCCACAAATGATATATCAGCTTCCATGAAAGTGGCTTTTCTAGTGTTCTGGGCTCAGGATTGTTTGATCTCTTCTCCTGCATAACCCAAATCCACATCAACAAGACCCTAGTGATCAATCATCCCTTAGATTCCCTCAGTACTAGGGTTTTTTTGCACGTACAAACCTCAAATCCTGAATCTCCTTTTCCATAAAGAGGTTCATATCTTGGCAACTGTTCAATTATCACTCTCACTGGACTCACTGTTGTGACCTTTGGTCTTAGAGTTTTTCTTTATTCATTCTCCATGTGTTGACTTTCACTACAGCTAAGCCCTTGCAGTTCACCTTTCCAAATGTGAGACTCACTAGTGTCTCAAGTTCGTCATGTAATTCTTCTGATTTGCCTGCCTTGCCAAACCCCAAACTGGTCTTATCAGTGTCACAGGTTATGAATGTCATTGGCAAATATTTCAAAACTTGAAAATGAATTTAAGCTGTCAAGCTGAGCACTGTTATACCTAACATTCTCATGCACATCCTTCACACCAAATTCCTAGACACAGCAGAAGAGATTTCTTAAAATAACTGGGAAAAATAAGAAGTGTAAACTGTGATGGACTAGAGACTATGAGAAATTCCTTAAAAAGAACAGATTGACGATGGGTACTGCAGCCCAAAGCTAGGTATTGGGGCAGGAAAGAGGACATGAGAAGTAGAAAAGTCATGATGCATGGATGATGCAGAAGTTCTGACATCTGTTTAAAAGTACTTCCAGAAGGCAGAAATCAGGAAATTGGGGAAAGGTAACATTTAAAGAAATATTACAGAAAATTTTCTCGAAACTTAAAAATTCTCCTGGCTGTAGGAGAGACTAAAGATGAAACATGTGTGCACCTGCTTTGATGAAATCTGTGAAAATAGGGAATAAAGAGAAAAATCATAAAAGCTCTCAGAGTAAAAAGAAAGATACAGACCAAGAAATTAGAATCAGAGTGACATCAGATTCTTTGTGAGGAACCCAGGGTACAAGAAGGCAGTAGAACAAGATTGTCAACATTCTAAGAGAAAATAACTTTGAAGATAGAATTCTACACCCAACCAAGCCACTGTTTGAGAGAGAGGCATAAAGAAAGATAATTTTTTAATTGGAAGAAACTTTGAAGTTAATGACTTCAAGATCCTCTTTGAAATAATTGCTAGACAATATAAACCACTAACAATAAAAAGTCCAGGAGGAGGGAATGAGGTAAAAGAAGTGATGGATAGCAAAGAAAGTAGTAAGTCTTCATGTGTAACAAACCTACATGTATACTCCAGGAACTTAAAATTAATAGTTTAAAAAAGAATATAAGTCTAAATAAATGTTTATTTTACATAAATTTATATAATTTTAGAAATACAGCCTTATGGATATAAAGTTGAAAATAATATCAAGAAGGGCTCAAAGATGAGAGATGAGAGCTGCAAGGAAGCAGAAGAAAATAAAAGTATTCTAAACCTCTGTTTGTTCTCAGGTATGAGATACTGATTAATTCTAGATTATAGAAAAATACATTTAAACATTTATGTTAATAAGTTTCAATAACCACAAAAGATAAAAATACATTTGTAAAATAGCAGAAAAAATTGAATTAAGAAAAATCTATAGGTTCAATTAAAGGTTAGCAAGAGGACTACAAACTAGAAAACATGAGAGTAAAAAAAAACAACCATAATTCCAAACATCAAAATTCACAACAAATGGGAATACTTTGTATTTACTGGTTAAAAGTTAGAAACTTTCATATTGGATGAAAAAAATTTAATTCGAGTAACGTATTTATGTGCCATGCTTCAAACCTAAAAACTGACACAGGAAGATAGAGAACAAAGAGATGAAAGAGCTAGATTATGCAAATGCTAACATGTAAAAACCAGATGTCACAATGTTAATATTGGAAGAAAAATAAGAGAGATGAAGAGGGACTTTTCAGATTGATAAAAAGAGCAAGGCACAAAGAAGATGCAGAAGGAACACATTTTTATGAGAACAATAATAATTTTTCAAAGTATATTAAGCAAAAACTGATAAAACTACAAGGATGAACTGTCAAACTAAAATGATAATGATGGACTTAACATACAGCTCTCAGAAAGTAACCAAAAATGGAGGAAAGAATAATATTGATGATTATAATGCAATAAATAAAAGTGGTTGATATTCTTTCTTTGTAATATTATACATAAAAACAGAGCATGTCTAGTTTTTTAATATACAAATAGAACATCTTAGGACAGTAAGTGAAATAAAATAAATTCAAGAAAGCTTATAACATACAGAACATCTTCATAGACCACATAAAATTAGAAATCAAAAATAAAATTCTCTAACTTTTGGGAGGATAAGTTTTTAAATAATCAAAGATAAACTAAATATCTAAATTATCAACTATTTAGAACTGAATAACAATTATGGCAACGTATATATAAAAACCTGTGAGATTTTTCTATAATACTCAGGATATTTATAGCCATAAATAGAAAATAAGAGAAAGATGAAAATTAATGGGCTACTTAAATCAAAGGAATCATTTTAAAAGAGACAAAATCAGAAATTAACAAAACAACATTTGAAAAAATGGTTAAATTCATCTATAAAGCTAAAGCTGACTCTAAGAGACCAATAAAGCAATGAAACCTTGGCAATTATGATGATTTTTAAAGGTGACAGAAAAAGCAAAATAAGATTAGGAATAAAAATGGTTATTAATATATAATATATACCCTTGACAAGCTACATATGGACATATTTTTCTAGAAAAACATAAATTGAGAGAGAAAACTAATCCCAGATAAAATTGAGTTATAATGGAAAGAGTAATCCTTTAAGAAAAGTAGAAATTCAAAACATTTCAGTATCATTTTCTATACACCAACAGGCAAATTCTAACAAATGTAAGTAACATTCAAAATTCACATGAACATTTCCAGGTCAAAGAGAAAGATTAGAAGTATCCAACTCATTTTACAAGGACATTGATATCAAAATGAGCAAGAAAGCTGTAAGCCACTTCCACTTACCAACATAAATATGAAATTACTAAATAAAAGATTATATCTAGAAATACAGTAAAAGGATAATAAATTCATATGAAATCAGAGTGGATCCAGTAATGCAGGGTGATTCAACATAAAAAAATGACCTTCCCATAATTTATTACATTAATAGATTAAAGAAATCATATGGTCACATTAATGTAAAAGCATTTGATATAATTCAAAACCAAAATAATTTTTAAAAATATTATTTGCAAATTATAGATTGAAGTGAACATTTTTTTTTTTTTTTTTGAGACGGAGTTTCGCTCTTGTTACCCAGGCTGGAGTGCAATGGCACGATCTTGGCTCACCGCAACCTCCGCCTCCTGGGTTCAGGCAATTTTCCTGCCTCAGACTCCCGAGTAGCTGGGATTACAGACACGCGCCACCATGCCCAGCTAATTTTTTGTATTTTTAGTAGAGATGGGGTTTTAACATATTGACCAGGATGGTCTCGATCTCTTGACCTCGTGATCCACCCCCCTCAGCCTCCCAAAGTGCTGGGATTACAGGCTTGAGCCACTGCACCCGGCCAAAGTGAACAT